GATTATCGTGGACTTCAGGAAACAGCAGAGGGTGCACCCCCCTATCCACATTGACGGGACCGCAGTGGAGAAGGTGGAAAGCTTCAAGTTCCTTGGCGTACACATCACCGACAAACTGAAATGGTCCACCCACGCAGACAGTGTGGTGAAGAAGGCACCGTGTAGCTCAGTTGGTAGAGCATGGTGCTTGTAACGCCAGGGTTGTGGGTTCGTTTCCCACTGGGGGCCAGTATAAAAAAATATATATATATATAATGTATGCACTCACTAACTGTAAGTCGCTCTGGATAAGAGCGTCTGCTAAATGACTAAAATGTAAAATGTAACAGAGCCTCTTCAACCTCAGGAGGCTGAAGAAATGTGGCTTATCACCAAAAACCCTCACATACTTTTACAGATGCACAATTGAGAGCATCCTGTCGGGCTCTATCACCGCCTGGTACGGCAACTGCACCGCCCACAACCGCAAGGCTCTCTAGAGGGTGGTGCGGTCTGCCGAACGCATTACCGGAGGCAAACTACCCGCCCTCCAAGACACATACAGCAACCGATGTCACAGGAAGGCCAAAAAGATAATCAAGGACATCAACCACCTGAGCCACTGCCTGTTCACCCCACTATCATCCAGAAGGCGAGGTCAGTACAGGTGCATCAAAGCTGGGACCGAGAGAATTAAAAACAGCTTCTATCTCAAGGCCATCAGACTGTTAAATAGCCATCACTAGCACATTAGAGGCTGCTGCTGCCTATTGAAATCACTGGTCACTTTAAGAAATGGAACACTAGTCACTTTAATAATGTTTACATATCTTGCACTACTCATCTCATATGTATATACTGTATTCTATTCTATAATATTCTTCTGTATCTTAGTCCATGCCGCTCTGTCATTGCTTGTCCATATATGTATATATTCTTAAATCCCATTCCTTACTTTTTTGTGTGTATTGGGTATATGTTGTGAAATTGTTAGATATTACTGCACTGTCGGAGCTAGAAGCATAAGCATTTCGCTACACCCGCTATAACATCTGCTAAACATGTGTATGTGACAAATACATTTTTATTTGATAATTGTTTGTTTCTGTTGGTCAGAGGGAGAAGGTGCTCAAAGTTAAACAAATGGGGGAAAGAATAGTGAATTGTTTTGCTCTCAAGAAAGGGCGCCATTGAAAGGAGTTATTACTGGGGTAGCAGTAAATGTAAAAGTTGACAAACTGAAGGGGAAGATTCCCGGTGTTTGTGATGCTTGTCGTTTGGTGCGACGCAAACAGGGTGGCGAGAGTGGGGAAACAGAAGAGTCATTGTCTGTTCTTTTGAGTTTTGAAGTTGAGTCTTTGCCTGACAAAGTGAAGTTAGGATATATAATATATCCTGTACGAGCTTATGTGCCGAATACATTACGATGTTATAGGTGTCAAACTTATGGGCATGTGCAGCAGTGTGTAGGAGGGAGGTTCCAAGGTGTGAGAAGTGTATAGAAGGGTATGAGACAAAGGAATGTGTAGCATTGGGGAAAGTAGTGGTATGTGCTAATTGTAGGGGTGCCCATGGGGATGGGGATCAGAAAGGTCCCGTGCGAGAGAGGCAGGTTGAGGTTTCCAGGGTAAGAGTAGTGAAGAAGTTGTTATATGCTGAGGCAGTGAAGAATGTAGAGGAAGATGGGTCAAGGGGGAGGAGTGGTGAGAGTAGTAGGTATGTACCAGTACAGAGGGATAGGCCAGCAAGTGATATATGTTTCAGTAAGATTGGATTTTTAGCATTTATAGCAATGGTTATTAATTGTACTGCAGGGATGGAACATAAGTCGAAGAAAATTGAGGTTGTGGTGGCAGCTGCAGAGGTATTTGGGTGTGCGAGACTTGACATCAGAAGAGTTACAGGGAGTGTTAAGTGGTGATGTCCCATCATTTCAGGTTGAGGTAGGAATTAATATATTTAAATAGTGGAGTAGGGTGGTGTTAATTATTAATAATATTTTTGAATTTGTGAGTGTTAGATGGTAGGGTATTTCTTTATTTTATTTTTCAAGCAAAATATAAGGGAGTTGTACCCCAGTCTAGGAGGTGGCGGTAATGCAACAAATTGGATGCCAACCGCCCTTAAAGCTCATCGAAGAAGATCGTTGTGACGTCCCCCCCTGTATTGAGATCAAATGTTTCATCGATGAGAACATTTGCAGAATGTCGGCGAAAATCCATCTCGTTCCATCTTCTCCCACTGCCTGCCAGTGGGCTTCCTCTCACTACCATATTTGGTAGTGAGTGGAAACGCCAAGCGGATGCTTTACATTTAAACATCCACTGAAATATGTCTCATTGTTCTATCTGTGGTTCAGCCAATAGGGAAAATGAATGCAGAAAGAATAGGGTTTTGGGATAAATGACGAAAATAAGGTCTGAGGTTAACACAGGCTTAGGAGATCTTATACGTGTTGTTCTAAGATAACATTAGTCAGTTAACATGACTTTTATTAATTATGAAGCCTTTTATATGCTTTTTTACATAAGTGGCGTTAGCTGATGAAGATTATTTTTGAATAAAACGTATAAAATATCCTAAACCTGTGTTAACCACAGACCTTATTTTCGGCGTTTATTCAAAAACCCTCCAAAAACTCCATTCATTTTCCCATAAGCTTTGTCTAACGAACCATGGAGGAGTTAGTGCCTACAAAAAGACGCCATTAATATTGCTCTCTATTATAGCTCAGTGGGGCCGTTTACTCATTATTTACCCATGATACATTGCGATTTTAATGCTCTCGAACACGGCCTGGATCGTCTCGCGCCGAACTGCGCATGTGCAGGCCGTCAAATCAAAGGCCATGTTCGAGAGGACATGATTAATGGATAAACCGTCTCTCTGCCCTAACAATGGGAGTTGTTGTCCACAAAGCGGCACTGCGGGCTGTCTAGCTCCCGCCTATCCTTTCTTTGGATTGGTGGATACGTCTTATTTGTTGTAATCCTTTTTTGAATATTCGATGAGGGTTGTTGATGTCAACCGCCTGTATTCATTGGAGAGAGATGCTATGCTACTAGTCTCATGTCATTAATATGCATAGCCATCTCAGATATAGTGTTTTTTCTCAAAGTTGCCGGGACGTCACAACCCCTATTTATATCAGTACACTCTTAACTTAATAATTACGAAACGTATATTATATCAAATTAACCTCACTTAGCAAATAAGCCAATCATTTTTTGTTGTTGACCAAATTCGACACTCATTGACCTCCATACAAAAAGTCCTTGCTTGGTGGGCGAAACAACGAAAACACACCACCTGCGTATTATAAACTTGGGTGGTTCAAGACCAGAATGCTGATTGGCTGAAAGCCATGGTATATCAGACTGTATACCAAGGGTATTACAACATTTATTTGTTCTGCTCTAATTACATTGGTAACCAGTTTATTATAGCAATACGGCACCTCTGGGGTTTGTGGTATATTGCCAATATACCACGGCTAAGGGCTGTATCCAGGCATTCCGCGTAAGAACAGCCCTTAGCGATACTCCTGAGTGGCGCAGTGGTCTAAGGCACTGCATCGCAGTGCTAACTGTGCCACTAGAGATCCTGGTTCGAATCCAGGCTCTGTCGCAGCCGGCCGCGACCGGGAGACTCATGGGCGGCGCACAATTGGCCCAGCGTCGTCCAGGGTAGGGGAGGGAATGGCCGGCAGGGATGTAGCTCAGTTGATAGAGCATGGCGTTTGCAACGCCAGGGTTGTGGGTTCGATTCCCACGGGGGGCAGTATAAAAAAAGATGTATTCACTAACTGTAAGTCGCTCTGGATAAGAGCGTCTGCTAAATGACTAAAATGTAAATGTAGCGTGGTATATTGGCCATATACCACCCCCCTTTTGGGCCTTATTGGTTAAATGTGTCATGGGTAAATTGTGACTGACTGACCTACAAATAATACGTTATTTATGACGCAAGCCTGCACTGTTGGCTGCAATGTCGAACAAGCCCAGTGGCACAGGGGGAGGTGGAGGTGTCCTGTATGCAAGTATGTGATGACGATTTCCAAACTCTTTATCAATAAAGTTATGTCACCTCTTTGAATGAGTTAAAATGCCTCTCTGTCCCTCCCCCTCTCCTGCACTGTTTTTGACAAAATTGAAAACATGTCGGTTTTTCCCTTTCACGAGGTTGGAGTAAAATCATGTTCAACTACTTAAGACATTAGCGTGAATCAAGACAATTAACTAAGGAAGAATTTTTCACTTCTCATTGACTTGGTGTAGAAACGGACACCCTTTGTTTGGATAAAGACATTCCAGCTCAATCAACTACAAGACATTTCAAAGGAGTTTCGACATTGCTCATATTTGGCCCTCTGAAAGTTGTTAGGTAGCGTTACTGTCTATCAAGAGGCAAGTTGCATCCAGTGAGTTGTCAATTTATTGGAATACATTTTTGAAGTTGTTCATTGCACGATTTCCCATTTAAAATTGCAACAGCAATAATTCCACCAGACACCTAGTTTGGTCTTTTTTTATAGTGTTACTTTTCCTTGATGTGCAACACACATGTCCTTATTTGCTGATAAAAGGTGTTGTACATAATTAAATCTATGGTAAAACTGTGGTAGATATTTGTTAACTTATCAACTCTGCCATTAAAAGAAACAATACATTCATAAAACACAGTAAGACAGCAGAGATAATATATACAATAACAAATGAAATAGATCTAGCATATCAAGGTATAGCAAATCAGTCTTCCTTATGAGAAGTGGCAACACAAAGGGAAACAAGAAACAGAAAAACAAAAGACATGCCTAATTGAGGCACCAGTCTTAGTGGATTAGTAATAGTAGTATGTTGCCACGCATAGTCCATATCACAATTTGGATTAACAACCATTATGTAAAATAAGACAGCAAATCAGCTATTTTCATTATTTTAAAACCCCTTTTGTAAAGTGCCGATCAGTTCCATATTCTTTATCTTCCTTTTCCGGCCTCTTCTTCACACTCATCCAAAGACTCAGATCCTCTCCAGGTCTTTGGGATGGTCAGGCAGGTACTCCAGAAGGGCAGGGTTCCTCCTGTAGATGTAGGCGTTGGCATCATCGTCCAGTTTCACCAGCTCAGCCAGCGAGGACACACAGGTGTCATGGTCTGTCAGCATCCCAGGCAGGCGGGATGACGTGCGCTGGATGCGACAGGAACGACGGACTGGAGTCAGGAACTTCAGATCCTTGATGGTGCTCTTTCGCCTGGAACCACTTGCACATGCCTCACCGTCGATTGTTCTCTTAACACTAGCAGGGGGAACGAGATGGACAGCATTGTGATTAGTTGACAGCCATGTTCAGTTTCATATACATTTCAATATAGAGATGTAAAGTAGTGCTGTTCGCCATGAGCTCCAGAAGTTGCTATAAATGGAAGTGATGTTATAACAGGATTACAGCAGGTATTTTTAAAGACAAGAAATCTCACCTTTGCAGGTATGGAGTTGTCTTCACACTGTATTTCACCACCGATGCGCCATCTGCCTCTGGTGTCGTCTCCATCAAGCAGTCGTCGTCATCATCAACTTCATTAATATAACCCTTCCTTACTTTCTGCTCTGAAGCCCCCTCTCCTACTTCACTTTTCACTTCAACATCCTCCGACTTGTCTAAATTATTCTCAGGAGACTCATTCCTTTCCTCAAATTCCTTATTTGGCAGTCTCTCCACCATTTTCTCCTCTTCAGATTCATCCCTTTTCTCATTCGGCTCTTCTAAAAAATAAAAATAAACACCAATTAATATAACACGTTACTAACGTTAACAAGTTCATCTTTTACACGATTTGAGCCTTTGTGTTGCATAATTTGAATTAGGCAGACAACGTCAAATGAGCAAGTAAATCTGTCTGTATTTGTGTTTGCTGTGAATGTAAATGTATTGACCACAAAATGTACCATCCACACATGCTGAGGGCTTCTCCAATGCCTCCAAAGCATCACAAAGGTTGACCACAACCTGTGATAAGACATAGGACAGCGGTGGTTAGGTTATATTTAAGAGTTTTGATTAATAAAACTACAGTATATAGGTTTCTTACATTCATTCTGACCTCTGGATCAACAGGGAGAAAATCTGTATCAGAGTTGTAAAGCAGGTCCAATGTAGTGTTAATTGTCAGTGGAGTTGAGGCACAGGCTGCCTCCTGCTCAGGGACCACCTGGTCGTTTTTAGGCCGAACAGTCAGTTCAGGCTCAGTAACAGGTTCTTGTGGCTCCTGGTCAGAGGGCTGAGGCGCAACGTTGGTCTCTAGTTGAGAGACAGCTGTGGATTCTGGGTGCACTTCAGGCTCTGGCTGCACAACTGGTTTAGACTTTGGAGGTGCCACTGCAGATATGGGAGGCCTTTTCAGAGTCTTTCCCTTGGATGCCAGCCACTCTGCCAGCTTTGTCCTGGGAATCAAAACCACAGTTAAAACTATTTTGAGCAGTTGACCAAAGTACCAACAGTTATTGGACAATTTTCAAGAAAGTAAAAAAATAAACATTCACAAACCTTCTCTCTTCAGCAGTTTCTGTGTTAGCACTGTACTGGCTTCGGGTGCTGGCAACTGGAATCTTGTGAACCTTCTTGTCGGTTGCCACTGTCATCTTAGGCTTGGTGCCCTGTGGCAGCTCTTTCCTCTTAGATGTCATGGCAGACCTAGTGGAGCTTGGGCGAGCTGTGGTAAATGGAGGAGTTCTGGCAGGAGGGTCTGCAGAGTGAAAGCCTGTGGGACGGCGTATAGCTGGGACTGGGCACTTGGAGACTGGAGGAGGCCCATTGGACACAGACTTGGATCTTGAGGGTTGACATGATTGGGGGGGCTTAAACATGCCACGCCCAGGCAAGTCAGCAACAGATTTGGACTTGACCTTTGTCAAATTTCCAGGCTTTTGGCTCTTAGCTTTGGTCATCGCGGTCTTCGTAGCTGCTTTGCTTTCTAGCCCTCCCTCCAGGCCACTAGGCTTCCTGAAGGAGCTTATTTTGGATTGGACAACCTTGCCTTTGTATGCGCCTGGGACGGTAGCTGGAGGCTTTGGAACAGGTTTAGATTGGGAGGTAGCTGGAGGCTTTGGGGCCTCTGCAACCAGCTTTCTCTGTCTGACAGCCTGTTTGGTGAGGAAGGCTTGGCTGAAGGTGTTGCGTCTCTTCGTATCGCCAGTGGTTGCCGCCTTCACATCCTTCTGCTCCGTCTTGACCTTCTTTAGAGCATCTTCTCCCTTTCCCAAGTCCTCCTTTTTATTGCTCTTGGAATGAAAAGGGGCAGATTGAGCAGCCACTGTTTTAGTAGGAGCAGCTCTGGTAATTAAGCACTTAGTGGGTCCACTTGCTGGTTTGGCATTCTCTTTGTTACCCTAATAATAGCAGACAGGACAAAGAAACAAGACAGATACATTTTACATAATACATAGATAGGCCTACCAGTAAGCACTTGGGGGTGGGGTAAGTAATAATGGGTGTGTTCGTAAATTCTGAGCGTTGTCAGATTGTCCGTTCGTTAATTCAAAGCGTGGATGCTCTGGCGGGTTGATCCGAGCGTTCTGACCTCACAACGGCAGTCAAGCACCCAAGCTTAACTGGCTAACTTGGTAGCTACTTCTAGACACAAATGAGAGAACACCACACTGACCATTTTACTCGCCCTAGCAGAGCTGGTTAGGCCTTTTTCATGTTATCCAGAGCGTTGGTGACTGTGCTGCTGGCAACAATTTAATTACGCTTTTTTTGCCGACGTTTACTGACACCGGCCATATTCAACGGGTGTTGAGCGTTAGTAAATTCATCAGTTATTCTGCGCTCTGGCACACACTCAGACGAGAGTGCTCTGAAATCGGAGTAGATAGCCAAAGTGAATTAACTTACCTTTTTCAAGTTGGTGTTTTTTCTTGTAACTGTATCCATTTTCTTCGGGCACAAAAGGCAGATCACCTATTGCCCTAAACATTTATAAATATAGGTGATCAGTATACAGAGTTGTAATATTTGTGGGGAAAGTTTTTACAAGGAATTCTGATTCTAAAACGTCTCTTTATATGGCTAGCTGCCTACCTAAATAGCAGTTTACTAACTAGTAATAATAATGTTATATTACTAATATTTTGAAAGTTGTTCGACCACGTTGGCTTACAACCCGTAGCTAGCTAATGTTAGTTAACTGGAAACAAGAGGTTGCTGGAAAACTGTCGGCTGTACATTTCAATCCAGAAGGTTTAACAAGCGAACGCAGATAAACAATTTAAAATCGCACGTACCTTGTAATTAAATGTATTGTGGACAAATAAAGAAGAAAACCGACGGGCACAGACAAAAGCTAAAACGTCTCTCGCAAAACAAACACGATTGTACTTTCGCGCTGAAAATTATGGAAAATAGATTTGTCGAGATGTTGTTGGGGGGAAAAACTCATTTTAGCCAATCGAATGTCTCGAGATGAGGTCATGGGACACTTTGGAGGAGGGTCTGGGCGGGTTCATCTGAGAAGAAGGCACCCATCTGTACTTTTGAATGTTTGAACCATAATATAATTCCTAAACTACTGGCTGCCTGCTACACCCAGATGGGAGCGGGAGGCATTTTATATAATTTATCAAATCCCTTACATGCTACTCTATTGACCTAGGTCATTTGTGTAAGCAAATCACCAAACCAAATTCACTATTCTGAATACATCCCTCAATTTTCGAAATTGTTAATTGACCACACAAATCAACATTTTGCAATGGCCATTCTAGTCTCCGGACCACATCAATAGTCATTATTGGACGATCATGTCAAACTTCTCAATTATACTTGCTAGTTTATTTAATATATATATTTTATTTATTTATTTTTAAACACACAAATAACACATTTGACATCCTCATGATGGAATTCTAACAAGAAACGTCTAATATCCTGAAATTGTGTTTAGTGAAAAGTTCTGACAACTCTTGAACATCTGAACTAAGTTCCGTAGAATCTTGAGAAACCAGGTGACACATTTAGAAAAACTTGTAATCCTTTTCTGTGGAACGTGACCACAAGTACCACTACCTACCTATATAGTACCCACCCTCTTTTACATTTACGTCATTTAGCAGACGCTCTTATCCAGAGCGATTTACAAATTGGTGCATTCACCTTATAGCCAGTGGGATAACCACTTTACAACATTTTTTGGGGGTGGGGTAAGGGGGGGTTAGAAGGATTACTTTATCCTATCCCAGGTATTCCTTAAAGAGGTGGGGTTTCAAGTGTCTCCGGAAGGTGGTGAGTGACTCCGCTGTCCTAGCGTCGTGAGGGAGCTTGTTCCACCATTGGGGTGCCAGAGCAGTGAACAGTTTTGCACAAGCATTTTGGGGGGCGGGCTCGGCCCCCTATGGCCCGCCCATAGCGACGGGTGTGGGCACAGGCAGGGATCCCAGCCAACAGCGAGTTGCAGTAATCCAGACGGGATTTTTCCAGTTCAAATCATACCAGCTCCCATCTTTGCTTATTGTATTATTTTGGTATTCAGAAAGCAAAACCATCAAAAAATAATTCTGAGTTGCAAGGTTGCAAAATCTTGACTCATATAAAGATCTTGGGAAAAACGAATCTGCCAAAGATACCATGGTATTGTAAATACAACACAAATTCAAAACAAGACAGACAACACGCCATTGTCAGATTTATCCCTCCTTTATTGACCACATTGTAAAAATTAAAAGCTCACGACTGACAAAAAATATCACTCTTTTGGCCATTGATTGCAGAAATTATTTATTGACATTTGATTGGACGTTATGAAACACCACCTCCTTCCATTCCCAGATGAGAGACGCCACATTGGTAAGTAAAATAAAACAATCAACAAAAACAATCTTTCTGCAATTCCCAACAAAAGTATAAAACAACGGTTTAATTTCACACTCATCTGCAGACCACAGGGGAAGGCTTTCTCAGTGCTGTGTGCTAAAAAGGGGTGTATGAACGCTAATGGGTCGGAGGGCTTTACGTCCGTGATAGCCCTCGGTTATCCAGGTCTTTCACCTGAAGGGGGTAAACAAGACAGTTAATAAATCGTTGTTAAAAAAAAAAATCCCAAAGATTTATTTTGACTCCTTGGCATCAACAATGAGGAAATATCATTTATACTCCCAAATTGCAACTTTTTCATATAGAGTCTACATGTAACGTTTAAAAAAAATAAAAATAACCCCCTGAAATGGCCTGGTACTCTACGGGTGTGACTGAATAAATACAGAGGAGAGTAGAAGACCGTAGCTACAGAGCGAGAAGGAGATATACCTTGTATATCCTGACCAGCCAGTGCTCTGTAGTGTAGGCCTCCTCCAGCACGTCCAGCTCAAAGTCCTTGTTGCCGATCTCAGCGTTTCTCACTCGGTCATAGCCAGGGGGGCGCTCTGGAACAAAGGTTAGAACATCAGGACTAGGGCCAAGATGACAAATAGAAGATTGACACCCACAGTGTCATAATTATGCAGGGTTACTCACTGGCCTCTGTGTAGACCTGGCCGAAGCGGTAGTAGCACATCTTGTACATGAGGCAGTTGAGCAGGACAGGGGAGCCCTCACGGTCCACGCGGAACTCTCCAGTGGGGGTGTAGTAGTCGTGCTCCTTGATGTGCTTCCCTGTGTCTGTGCTACCCCCAATACGCACCATCCACAGGAACTTGTTAATGTCTGCACAGAGAGAGGAGTGTCGGCAGACGTAAAGCATGAGTTATATTCTCAAGTTAAAGATTATTTATGATCATGTACAAAGTGTACCATCTAATGCAGTCGTATTAAAACTTTTTCAGCGGGGACCACTTTTTCCACCAGAATTCCTGGGGACCCCATGTTTTCCCCAATAAGTTATTGCGACCCCACCCCAAATCGAATGACAACCTTAAATAAAATATCCATTCAAATGTTTATAACAAATAACCTTAAATTCAATGCATTTTCATCTCTAATCAAACTGAAAAGAAACCAATAAATGCATTTACTCAACAAAATTATCTTTCTCAAAAACATGGTATATTGTCTTTAATTTTGGCGACCCCATTAGGGGTCACGACCCCAACTTTGAATACCACTGATCTGATGTATGTATGTATTAGGCATTGACAACTAATAAGTTAAATAACTTAATCTGAAATACATATGTTAAGAAGCTGTAATAAGTGATTATAATTATTATAAGTGAGTGATTATGCATAGAGTGATGGGCATTGATAGTTTCCACTGGCTTTGTAGACATACCGTCTGAGGAGTATCCCGTCAGTCCACCAAAGATGACCAGGACGTAGCTTACATCCAGCTCCCGCATGATCTCATAGGCCTTCTCCTCGGTGGATGCCATGGCCTACCGGTCAACAGAAACACAGTTTATATAAAGTTCAGAAGTCACAGGTATCAACCAGGCATTAACAGATGATAGGATTGTCACGTGTCAGTCCCATGTAAAGTCATCAATACAGAAAATAAAAATACTTCACCTGGCCAACTCTGGAGATGTGCGTGTTGTTCCATGTGTTGTTGTCCACTAGAATTGTTCGATTGGCCATGGCTGTTATCTGATAGCCGTAATCCCACCATGACATCACTTTAGCATCCTCTGGGGTGTTGTGGCGGAGCCAGTAGTAGGCCTCTCTGAAGTCATCAAAGATGATGCGGCTGCCGTCTCCGCCGCGGGCTGACAGGACGATGGAGGGGGAGGAGTAGGCTTCGCTCGTCACCCAGGTGGAGTGGAAGGTGTAGGTGATGAGGAAAAAGGTCATGACCAGAATCATCCCGCTGGCCACCTGGTGGATAAAAAGGTACAGGATATCAGGGAACCTAATACTACTTTCAGATCTATAGTGCCTAGGGGTTGTAACTGGACTGGGCCTAGATCTCACATCATTTCACCCTTATCAAATATATCCCCCGACTTCATCAGTTGGAATGACATCCAGTATCAATGGCTACATGCCAAAGCTGCATTTCGGTGACATTAACAAACATTTATTGAACAGTGCCATCTGGGGGCCAATATGGCATCATCATGCCTTTATGTATCCTTCCTCTCTTACCTCGTTCTTGATGGGGTAAGTAGAGTCCTGCTGCTTCTTACTCTTCTTGTCTGGCCGGCTGATATCCAGGTTCTTCATGTAAGTGGTGAGGACCTGGGACACACCAATGCCTGACAGGATGCACATGACTGGTGCCAGGACCAGCATCAGACGCACCTGAGGAGAGAAGCAGCCAAATCTGTTGAACATAACCTGCTACGTAGTCTCTTTCTGGGAGCTCATCTGCTTGCACAACATGCAATAGGGGAAAACTAATCTAGCGTTGCCTGACTGCGTAAATAATATGGAAGGATCGAGCCTAGGGGAGCACTGACAGGTACCATGTGCAATTCCTACTGCAAAAGTAAATATTGGAATATTTGAAACCATAGATTTAAAATATTCCTCTTATTCAAGAGCTAATCTGCAGGCCGACATACCATGACAGCTGAGAAGTACATGCTGGTGACTCCATACATGATGATGAAGATCCTGGCATCAGACAGGTTGTTGAAGCAGTAATACAGACCCACTGTCAGGATGAAGAAATGCAGGTTCATTAAAGCAGCGCAAAGTTTTTCTTTACAAGTGATTTGTACCTTTGTCCCGAAAGTATTCTGATTGATCCATTTACCTAAACATCATTCTGCTGTGTCATTTCACCAGCAAGACTACCATTTCAGACGGAGTGTGTTTACCTGGGAACATGAAGACGAGCAGCTGCAGGTCAAAGTAGTAGGAGGACCAGGTGGTGGGCTGGTGCTCAGACACAGAGGCGATGATGGGGATGTTGTTCTTGGCATAGGATGGGTCCAGCAGCGAGTAGAAACGACCCGTCCAGGGGGAGATCTTCCCTGAGAAACGCAACAATCACAACACAGTCAAGTCGTGTCGAGCCAAATGAACAAGGCACTACCAAATCACTTGGTTCTGATATTTATTGGGTATAGGGTTATGCGTTTTATCTTTAACCATATCTGTATGTAAATATAAAATGCAACATGTAAAGTCTTGGTTAGGGTTGCACGATATTGGAAATAACTGACATTGCGATATTTTGTTTTTCTGCGATATATATTGCGATATGAAAAAATACAGGATGTATGCATGATCCTCTGGGAAAAATGCAGTTTGCAAACAGCGACTTTTCAGGTGGAAGTCCTCATTAATAAAGTGTACGGTCAGACTTATGTAGGGCTCCGTTGTCCGGCTGGACCACAAGTCCGTTGTTGCTGTATAATATTCCACTTGTGACAGCTCTGTTTCAACTTGTGCCTTGCATTTCTTGTACAACTCTGGGATGGCAACTTGAGAAAAATAGTTGCGTGACGGCATTACATACCGCTTGTCACGCGACCGGATCATGTTTTTAAAACCCTCTTTGGTAATCGTGTTAATTGGTACCATGTCTTTGGCGACGTGAAACCGTTCTCGTATGGTGTAATACTGACAAAGGCATCCGAAATAGATTTTTGCTTTGGAGGGCATTGAGATGCTTTGCACTCGTCATACAAAGATTTGTGGGGCCGCTTAAATGATCGAACAAATTTGTCGTGTTGCCTCGTGTTGTGGCAACAATTGCAAGGCACTCTCGACAAAGTACCAGTTTTTGGTCATCATCCTGTCTGTAGCCGAAATATTTCCATATAATTGACGATGCATTTCTTTTTGCAACCAAATTCTCAATTTCGGTATTTTTTGCCTGTTCCTTGCTCATCATTTCGTCACGCGCAAGCAGAGCCTGCATGTCAACCACGTGCAGCAACGAACTCCGTGTTTAAAATAATAATAATAATAATAATAATAATAATAATCTGTGTATCCAATAACCCATAAATCGGAGTAAATTACATTATATCAGACAGATATAATGCAAGTTTAACATTTAAAAAATATATATATTGTAGACTGATATGTTTACCTTACTAAATCGCACGTTCTGCGATGTGACTATTGCGGATGCATACATCGCAATGTCGATGCTGAAACCATATATCATGCAGCTCTAGTCTTGGTCCCATGTTTCATGAGCTGAAATAAATTATCCCAGATATTTTCCATAAGCACAAAAACTGTATTCCTCTAATTTTTTGCACAACTTTGTTTACATCCCTGTTAGTGAGCATTTCTCCTTTGCCAAGATAATCCATCCACCTGACAGGTGTGGCATATCAAGAAGCTGATTAAACAGCATGACCATTACACAGGTGCACCTTGTGCTGAGGACAAAAGGCCACTAAAAGGTGCAGTTGTGTCACAACAAGTTGAGGGAGCGTGCAATTGGCATGCTGACTGCAGGAATGTCCACCAGAGCTGTTGCCAGAGAATTGAACGTTAATTTCTCTACCATAAGCCACCTCCGTCATTTTAAAGAAACTGGCAGTAGGCCTCACAACCATGTGTAACCACGCCAGCCCAGGACCTCCACATCCATCTGCTTCACCTGCGGGATAGTCTGCGACCAGCCACCCGGACAGCTGAAACTGTGGGTTTGCACAACCAAATAATTTCTGCACACTGTCAGAACCTGTCTCAGGGAAGCTCATCTGCTTACTCGTCGTCCTCACCAGGGTCTTGACCTGACTGAAGTTTGGCGTCGTAACCGACTTCAGTGGGCAAATGCTCACCTTCAATGGCCACTGGCACGCTGGAGAAGTGAAAACCCGATTTCAACTGTACCGGGCAGATTGCAAACAGCTCGTATGGCACCGCTCGTGTGGGCGAGCGGTTTGCTGATGTCAACGTTGTAAACAGAGTGCCCCATGGTGGCGGTGGGGTTATTGTATGGGCAGGCATAAGCTACGGACAACGAACACAATTGCATTTTATCTATGTCAATCTGAATGCACAGAGATACCGTGACGAGATCCTGAGGCCCATTGTCATGCCATTCATCCGCCGCCATCACCTCATGTTTCAGCATGATGATGCATGGCCCCATGTCACAAGGATCTGTACACAATTCCTGGAAGCTCAAAATGTCACAGTTCTTCAATGGCCTGCATACTCACCAGACATGTCACCCATTGAGCATGTTTGGGATGCTCTGGATCGACATGTACGACCAAGTGTTCCAGTTCCAGCAACTTCGGATACGGACTCGTTTTCTGATCCACGACCCTACCTTTTTTATTAAGGTATCTGTGACCAACAGCTGCATAGCTGTATTCCCAGTCATGTGAAATCCATATGTTAGGGCCTAATGAATTTATTTCAATTGACCGAGTTCCATATTTGAACTGTAACTCAGTAAAATCTTTTAAATTGTTGCATGTTGCATTTATATATTTTTGTTCAGTGTATATGTTAATCATCAAGAACAAACAGGCTTTGAACAACCATACAGGTCTGTAAATAAAATCCTACATTACCGAGTAGAGGCATTGCTCTGGCCTGAGTTCAAATACAGCAGTATTGGTTTCCGTTCAAATACTTAAACTGTACTTGATTGAGAGTACTTTCCTGAACGGATTCTTGGCGAGTTTCTTACCGGTCACCATGAGCACAGTGCCCACAGAAAGCAGGACGAAGCCCACCAGGGAGATGACGCTCTTGAAGAGGACCTCAAACTGCTGGGCGTTCAGCTTGCTGCGCAGGTAGTCCACAAAGGCATGGATCTGACACAGGCCAAACACTCCGAATGCTGCCATGTGCTCGGACGACTGCACAGGCTTCAATGGAGACAAGGAGGTAAACGGAGTGTGTGTAATATCCCGAAATCACTCCAACGGCAAACATTTGTGATAATAGGATATATAAATGACTTAATCATTATTTAAAAAATCATATACATGGACCCATGTTGTAGTCACAAGATAACATGCAATGGACATCTGGACAGCTGCTGTGTATGCATAGTAAGGGAGAGAATAAGGAGAAGTGTTTACCTGAAAGCCGACAAAAGATATCTGCATGGAGAGGATGGTTCCCAGGCAGTAGACGGTGCAGTAGGCCACGTAAATACGGTGGGAGAAGCGGCCGGTGAGCATGAGGACCAGCACGTGGAGGGGGATGAGGTTGATCAGGAACACATAGCCACCCCAGGAGGACACCTGCAGACAAATACATAAGGGTTGTGTTCAGTTGGTTTAACGTTTTTGCTACATATTGTAACAATGCTGTTTGCTAATTTTCCTTTATCTTACACGCAGCCAAGGTAAGACTCCTTCAGATAAGCCTCATAAGAGGAGTGTCAACCTTCAGCAGGGACTGAGTTACTGTAACTTTCAGTTTCTAAGTTCTCTATTGTCAATGTTCCTTATCATTTATTTATTTTAGAGGCGTTAGTCTCACCATGTAAAAGTAGGCAAGGGCACACATGGACGACCAGTAGATGGAGCCTGTATTGACTGCCTTGATCCACATGTAGTATGTCAGCAGCATGCAAAAGATAGCAATACCTGGATAGAAAAACAAGAAAATAGATTAAAGATCACAACAAGGGCCAAGTCCTTTAGAGGGGCATGTCCGTGGGGATGAGGCATGTTCTGTACCTTCATTGTCATAGGAGCCGGCGACAGAACGGGAAATGTAGCCAGGTACCACCGCTATCATGGCAGCAGCCAAGAGCCCAGCACCTGCATCCTACAAGTAGACAGATATGAAAACCATGGGAACAAGTACATTTCAGAGCTCTTGAGCATTTTCAGTTTGTAGGTTACCTCCCCGTTTCCCTACATTTCTTTAAGTTTTCTTCCTTGTGTGCTGCAACGTACCTTGAGCTCCTTGGTAAAGTGGTAGGTGACAATGGCAGTGAAGGAGGAGAAGAGGGGAGCCAGGAAAACACAAACGTTACGGATGTCGATGGTGATGTGGAAGAAATTCAGGACATGGTACAGGGCAGCAGAGGTGATCATCAGGCCTGGGGGAACAGGGCAGAACAGAAAGAGTTAACAAAAGGGCAAGTAGGTTCTATCAAAGAAGAATGTGTGGACTAGGCCAACACAATCACAGAAAGGATCTTTATGACAAAGGGGGAAAAAGGTGACAATAGAGTTGATGACCCAAAGCCACCTTAACACAGGACAGTCCATTTTAGTGGAACATTCTAATGTCTAGATAGTCACCCAATAACGTCAAGTACAGTCTTGTGTTGAACAGGTCATCCCATTCCTACCTGGGTAAATGGTGCCACCGATGATCCTCCCCAGAGGGTACCATGCCCGGTCATCAAACCAGTTATGAAAGTTGTAGAAGCCCTCCTCTACCAAGAAGCGGGTTGTTCGGTAGTTGAAGTACCTGACAATGAAGCAACAAAGCATGCAAGGTCAGAGATTTAAACACCATTTGAATTATAAATAGAAAACTGGCATTAATCTGAATTATTAGGGGGGAACTTTCATACAACAAGGTAGTGGACTTACGGATCAAACTCATGGATGACACTCTCAAACCTCAACACAGAGAAAAGCCTGGTGGAAAATGCTGAGAAGGGGAAATAAAGAACAAGTCCTAACCATCTCTACTCATATCACAGTCAGGTGACAATGGCCCACAATAATAATATGGAATACTATAAGTGTAGAGTAACAGAAAGGGATGCAAAGTGTATGCGTTCTTACAGAGGATTGCAGCCATAGACAGGATGAGCAGCTTCAGCAGCGTGTCCTGTTTTTCATAGGACAGCCGCAGAAAGCCAAACTTCGTCATCTTCAAGCAGGGAGGGATAACTTGGCTTATCCCTTAGTACCTGTTGGGAAGAAAAATTTAATTAACAGTGTAGGTGTGAGGCAGCAAGCTCCATTCCAAATGTGCATTGCTTGCGCATGAGTCAGAGCAGCAGTCAGTCCGTTTTTTAGTAGCTTGATCAGTAGCTCAGTCATGAGGAAAATCTATTAAATAATACATATTTGTATAGTATTTCTGGGTTTAAAAACACGGCGTTTCAGTCTACAAACTCAGGGCGAGTAAGTTATTCTACTAACCCAAAGTGTTTGTTGAAAACTCACTTTACGAATGTTAAATACATCACACGATCTATTAACCACTTTCTATAATACTAACACTATTTGCCAAATGAAATCACTGACTGGGTTTAAAGACGTGCCCAACTCTGTTCCAACCAGATAAGGACACGCGCACCGCCAGGTTGGATCCGGCGAGAATAATCTAACCAGGAAGTGGATGCAACTCCGTCTAGACTGCAAACTTTCCTTGTATTACCATTCATACCGTTCTTTATCTGCCTTGACCAACTCACAACCTACCAAATGCATTATCCTAGGTTATTCCTTTTGTAGAAATGGCAACACCGGTAATTGAGAAATATGTTGCTGGGTGACATGAAGGCATTGTCAAGTTCAATGCAAGTAACGTTAGCTAGTTAACGTTAATGTAGCTAATTTTCTAGTAAATAGTCTGCATGCATGTATTGTCCTAAACGCAAGAAGTAGTTAACTATCTGGTGGGTTTTCCGTTCCTGCAAATAGACAGTGCCGATTCTATTCAACTCGAGCCGAGGGCTGAGCCTTATTTTAACATGTTATTTAGCTAGCAAGGTTGCTAGCTAACTTTAGCTGTGTGAATGAACATAAGGTCTTCTTCCACTTACTCTCAAAGTTACACCATGTGACTCATTTCAGAATATGTATACAAAACAGAGCCATATGGCAATTAAATTATCTATCTCGTTGATTTAGCAGCTATTTTGAGCAGCACTTACCCACTCCGTTCCTGTTACACACATACACTTTTCACACACGACCTTGTGTGCAGCTTAAACCCGCCCAACCAAGCTATGCAACGTGTTTATTGGCCTTGCATCGACCGTCAGTAAACTCTCATTCCTGATTCGTTAATGAGCTATCATTCAAACAGGCCGGATAAGTCGCTGTTCCTTCCAGTGACGTGTCCTTAATGCTGAAAAAATTGCTTGACAGAGTTCGATTAAGCTGAACTGCGATGTACCGGGATATGGCCCGTGACATGAACGGGCAAAAGCGGTGAGGGAGGAGCGCCCTTCTCAAAATAGAACAGTAATCTGCGACTCCCCTTCTTGATCAAATTGGTCTGGAAGTATAAACAGCAACATTCATAGTTGTTTTTCAACATTGATAAATATCTCTAATAATTTCCAACCAGTTATGCAGTAAATTACCACCCACATTGGGACATATAATAAAACACCAAAATATTTTGTGAATTCTCTTACAAATGTTATTTTTTAAATAAAATATCCACGTGGGAAACATTTAGCAGTTTACCATAGAATATTTCAGACTAAAATAATTGTGTCAATCAAGATTACTTCCATGTAGATGTAGTGTATACTGACCAATTTTATTGAAATTAGGGATAATACTTTTACAAAATCTCACTCACATATGTCAATCTGCATACATAAACACTATGCATTTACAATTATTTCATACTGTTTCACACGCCCCTCCCAACCCAAGCCATTAGATAAGATTAGGTAAAAGCTAGATGATGGTAACCCCCATGGTGAGGTTTTGGTTGAACATTCAGAGCCAAGTGACATTATGTAAAACAAGAATTCCCACAGCTCAAGGGGGAACAAAAACAGAGGGCTTCTCCCGTCTATACACCTTCCTTCCTTCCTTCAAGAGAAAATCAGTCTGAGCTCAGTGACATCTTCCTAGTACCTACACCAGTGTTTTGTGTACAATTGATCGAAGCAGAAGTGAGTCGAACAAAGTAGTAGATAAAACAGTTTGGCAGTGTCATCTGATCTGACCAAGCTGCAGAGTCCATACAGCTTCACCTGTCTGTCTAATACACAACTATAGAAAATAGCTTCTTCAAAACAGCTAGCATCACTTAACACACAACAACCAGTGATTATATATTTGGATTAATTAAGGATGCTCTTCCTTTTTTGTGGGATGTTTAGACCAGCTCCCATGCTAAAAGTGTACAAATTAAGATTAGTCTATGAAAGCACTTACAGGAATATAAAAAAAGTGTCCCTTTGTTTTCACCGCACAAGATTATTCCTGGGTTTCCAGCCAGAGGAGTATCAGTGACACCCTGGCTTTACAGAGAAACAGCTATTAATTAACAAGACAACATCCTGTCAGCGTGAAAGGAATGTCACTTGCAACACAGAAAAATGTATGTCACAACTCTTGCGCTTCACTTTTTAACATTGCAAACATGTCACCCCCTTCAATGGAGAAGGGGCTTATTGTAGTCACACACGCTTGGATGAACATTTAGTCAAAGGCTGCATCTCTGTGCTGATTCCTCAAGCAAAGGAATACCAAGGATCGTGTGACCAGTGCCTAAGGCTCTGTCTGTCACTCAAAACATAGTAACATAACATGAGTCCTGGCAAAAATGTAACCCTTTTCCTTTTTCTCTTCCACATCAAGTGTTTTATACAAAGCAGTCTGGGATCAGTCACTGGGTGATAAACAGATTAAACAAGCAAATGATGGCAAACATTGGAGTTGGAATCGAAGAGCAGAAAAAAAAAATTATGAAGAAAAACAATGTATATGACTGCTTGTGCTGTATGTAAAGCACTCAAATGGCACATCATACATAAAAAACAATTAAAGAAAACATTTTAATGAGAATAAGCTACAAGAATCATGTGTGTTTGAGTGTGAGGCACATGGCAGTCAAATCTCCTTATACGTCATTCACATTTTTAAAAACACCTGACCGGTGCTCCAAAATAATATGAAAAGGGCCGTAGTAAAATTGTTAAAATCACATTAAAACCCCCCTTTAACCAAACATCCTCCTCCTGTCCTGATAAGAGAGATCCTTCCACAGACAGAATCAACTGCTCCATTGGTTTACTGAGCAGAGCTGCTCCCTTGTCGCCCCCTGGTGGCAATCACTGGGAGGGCAGGGGTCTCTGGCGGGCAGGAGAGGCGTGGGGAGAGGTAGGCAGCTTCTCGGCGGAGATGGACGCGTTCAGGGATGACTGCAGGTGGACTGTCTTGTGGAACAACTTGTTGCTAATCAGCACAACCAGAGAGAAGAGGCGCAGCTGGAAGTGGCTGTGTGTGGAAAAGACACAGGGGGGTAGAAAAGAGTGAGTGAGCAGGGAAGAAGATTCCACTGGTTCTTTTCACACAAGTGAATCTGTTTGATCACTGGTAATTATTAGTGCGTGCAGTGCACTATACTCACTATAGCTTTGTTGGGGTCTTGGCCTCGTTAGCACTGATGATGAACAGAGGGAAGAGGATGGAAAACAGACAGCCACTAGAGCAGAAAAAAATAATATGATTTTAATCGATCATTAGAATGATTTGGGATATCAGTAGGACTGAAAGTCTGCATATTGGAAGTGTCCTCATGCATGGATCGAAAGAGAGGAGACACTAGTGACGTTACCTGATTATATATGAAGAGGGGAGGGCAGTCAACAGAGCCATGGGGAGACCAAAGCCAAAGTAGTAGGGCCAGTTCCTCTCAATGTTGGACAGCCGTTGGTGCATCTCAATGCCTTGGATGAAATGGTTACAAATGGGTTGAGATTTTGCTTAGTTCCTATTACCTAAAATTAGTATAATAAGTAGAAAGGAGGCTCACCATGGTTGAACCAGCGATACTCAAAGCAGTAGAGGGAGTAGAGCAGAGACATGTGGAGAAGGCTGACCATCTGTCCAATAGCATCAATGGGGAAGAGACTCACAACCATACCCTAGAAGGACCACAACAAAGACAAGATGAGGTAATATGTTGATTACTAACTTGAACCATTGAAGGTAATGGATCACAGCTCTGTGTTGAACCCAAAGACCCCTGTAGGTTTTCATTCCAACATAACCTTAGTGAACCCTCTTGATAGATAGTGAGATCATGATTGATAGTGAGTCTTCTTCATGAATTTGAAGACACATGGGAATGTCAATTGCTGTACTACCTGAATGAGGAAGAGAGCCTGGAGGAGGAGGTTGAAGATCATGTCAGCGATGATCTTACTGACGCTGGGGAAGGGCTGGGCTTTCCGACCAGACACCTCGAACGCCAGGTCAGCTATGTCCTACAGCAGACAACCAGAGAGCGCGTTAACCTCCTGTTTTACTGTGTGACACATGTTAACGTCTCACAAGATCCTCAGGCAATAATATTTAAGACTGGAAGAGAATATAGATAGCATAGCAATAACACATGGGAAATTCCTAACTGCTGTGAGACATTCAACTGTATCAAAGCCACTACGCTATCCCCTGAGCATTGCTGGAAACTATATTGTCAACAGTGACGTAATTCGGTTGAATGCATTCAGTTGTGCAACTGACTAGGTATCCCCCTTTCCCATTATTCATTAAATTGGCTTATGATAAAGTTATGGTTAGTGCTATCCTGTAGGGCTGCACAATTAATCAAATATTAATCTAAATTGCAATATTGACATGTACAATATTCATATTGCAAGAGGCTGCAATCTTTTTTTAAACGCCATTTATTCAAATGTAATAAGGGTCCCCTGGGAAACTCTGACCAACACTTAGGTTTCTACCCTGTCACAACAACTTCTACTGTATCTGGCTTTTTCATTAGTTGTCATTCCAAACACCACCAACCATAGAATCCAAATACTATTTTGATTTCTATGATTCCAACAGCTCACCCAAGTGTTTTGTAAAATTGCAATAATTGGTTAAAAAAACGCTATTAGGTTATTTGCCCATATCGTGCAGCCCTACTATCCGAGATCATTGGGACATCCCTAAAGCTAAACTTAAACCCTACCCTAACTCTTACCTAACCCTAACAGTATTCCATTTCAATCAGGTGACATCAGAGTTGAGACATCCCAAGGATTCCGTTTAGACTTTTCAATAAAAGTATACACGACTAGTGCTCTCCAGTGCCAACTGTGCAACAGTTCTCCTTGACCATCTATCTCCCACCCTTGTTACATCAACCACAAAACATCTTTATCATCATCTGTGTCCTAACTAACAGAGGCCTCACCTGGAACCAGATGGCGTTGACTATCTTGCTGAGCACAAACAGAGGGAGCACCCAGAGAGCACTGAACACTGAGGTCAATATGAACTCCAGCCAGGACCACACGTTGCCATGGAGAGAAGGGTCACCTGGCAGGAAATGGCTCTTTGAGTGACACATTTTACCACTGTTCTTAACAAATCACTATGAAGCATGTGATAATGGAGTAAACCCGCCCCACTGTTCCTGGCAGGCACACATACCAATGATTATTGCTGTCAGAGTCTGCAGTAGTGGAATAAACACCCGGTAGAAGAGGAACAGACTGAGCTGCAAAGGGAATCGGAGGGGGGATTACTAACACGAACAACATCTATGTAGTATTACATACAGTATTTGCCCCTCTCATACAAATACAGTATTTGCATGATATACATTTTTCAAATGGTTTTAAAATATAGAAAAGTGTTTGTTTTTTTACCCAGAACACTCCCCCATTCCAGGCACAGCACTGAAAAATCCTACTGGCTAATTTGGGTTCACTGAAAGAGAGAGTATGACAAATTGTCACCCACCATCGTCATTAATAGGCACAAAAATGTATAGGTCTTGGCCTACTGTGGACACTAGACAGCATACAAGGATCCATATTTACTCATAACTCTTAGGGCTCAATTCAATCCGTATCACGAAAGCTCAGCGCTATAGCGCGACTGAAATTTAAAGGCAAAGTTCACATGTTAGCGGAGACTGCATTCACAGAAAACACTGCATAGATCGGCTCAATTGGATATCAATCGCGCAATAGCGTTGAACTTCTGCGATACGGATTGAATTGCGCCCCTAATATGAACCTTTCACAACTAGAAATAGCATATCAGGTTAGATAGGGAGAAATGTAAAAAAGAAGCCAAAATATCAGTGTCTCTATTAATCAGTAGCCTTTCATGATATGTATCAAGTAACACGTATACCCTTTCTTATACCCACAATATAGTGCCAACCCGAACAGAAGTGTGCTGGCTCTGACATGTTCTTTTCCCATCACACTTTCACAGTTCGAGAAACGGTGGTGGATCCGTAAACAGGCCAGCCCAGCTTGGCAGTGTGAATAGGGTATTACAGTCCTACCTCTCCTGTTTGCGTTCCTCACTCTGGGCCCGTCTCTGAGCCAGGGCCCCGCTGGCTCTCCTCCGCCGCTGCTCCTCCCTTTTCTGCTGGATGCGGGCATCCAGCTTGGAGATTGTTCCAATCCCCAAAATGGAGTCCTTAATCCCCTGTAGGACACATAGAAAATACGCACAGACTGGGTTAAATGACTTATAAAGGAAATCAACACAGCACATTCTTCTAATGTTGTACGCAACACTATGTTAGACTTGGTGGGTTGAAAACTTCAAAAGCAGTGCTTTAAATACGAAATGCATCCTAATACCATTTAAGTAATGTATCATGTGCTTTAATGCACTTGGTTACCTAGTAGCACAGTTGAAATAAAACGTAAACTAAACCAAAAAAACAAGGCTAATCTTTGTTCTGCTTTTGTGGATGGGATCACTTGCCACCTGGAAGCAAGGTGATAAGGTTCGAGGTACACAACACAAGATAAGGGTAAACATATGGTTAAGCCTCTAAATGTAGGCAACTATGATTTTGCCCCAAAGCAACTTTTGCTCTAGACTAGAGCAAACAAGAAAAAACGTAAACTTTATTAAAACATTTCACTTGTCTTGTGTAAAAATAAACTAATTAACTAGGCACAATGTTAAATGGGCTAAGTGGATGGCTTCAATTGAACTAGAAAACATAGTTCCCAATAGATCTAAACAGAGCTTGGTAGTTGGTACACAGCCTCATGATTCAGTGCCATAGCTGTACCCTCCTTTAACCCTATGTGTTGGCCTATCACTTGTGTGTGGACAGACAGGGTGTGGTGTGTTGTGTTGCTGTCTGACCGTCGCAACATTGCGGAGGAAGGCCCTGATGCTGTCTGTCATCTCCAGACCAGCTGCAGATCCATCAACTGCAGAAGGAGGGGTGGCTGGGGACCTGGTCAGCTCTCATGGCAGGGAGGGGCACACCCAGCAACACCACACAGGAAAACTGTTAGAGAGAGCAGCAGGGTCACTTTGCTCCAAGTCTCATTACGTTAAAAGGAGCATGTCATGATAAAAGGTGCATGTCATGATATACAGCCTATATTTATTCACATCAGTGAGGCACACCAAGCGACCTGTGTGTACATCAGTCACATCACACAGGAAAATATTTAGGCAACAGGTTCACTTTGCCAAGCGTCTCATACCATGTTAAATGGCCTTTACTTAGGGCACTATTTATTCACACAACTTTCTGATACGGTTAGTACAGACCTAACTATTAGTATTAGCTAGTTACTAACACTTTCCAGCTAACAAAACCCATATGGAAGCCCATAGGCCCTACATTTGCGTATGTGGACACTTCATGTAGGCCTAGATCAAATATGAGTGACTTAGGGTCTGTAAATGGCTTGTTCACTGGCTTTCTTGGTGACATTATTATATTGAATAGCCAATTAGTTAGCTACCTTATCAGGTAATGTTATCAAATAAACATTTCTGAATTTAATGTATCTCGCTAGTTAGCCAGCCATCTGTTGTTACTGTTAGCCAGTCATGGTTGAAACGTTGCTTTGCCTCAACTCTAGGAACCTCAGGACTTATGACCTTCTTCGGCAGACAACACTGAAACGCTAACGTTAGCTAACTACTAGCTACAGTAGTTAGCTGACACATACAAAACCAAACATGGTAATCACATCGTTACATAGAATAACTAACGTTAGCTAACTAACTAGATCGTTATTTAACTAGCATAACGTTACAGTACATACGTTCAGTATTAAGAATAGTCCATAACGTTAGGTGTAAAACAAACTAGCTATCTTTCTAGCTAACGTTAAGTTGTCCAAATTCAAACGATGCAAGCTAGCTAACGTTACATCGTCCAAATTCAAACGGTGCAAGCTAGCTAACGTTAGCTAGCACGCAAGCTAACTTGCCTGACTGGCTCCCTAGCTAACAACGAAAATGATTTACTTGGCTCCCTAGCTAACAACGAAAATGATTTACTTGAATCAAGCGGACATTAAAGACAGGTCAGATCGAGCATTTAGTCACCATGACCTACCTCATGCGACACTTTCACTGAAATATTCTCGTGACCTCTTTATTACTGTTTCTTTAAGAAGGTTTTTCTTTTGCAACAACAAACCAAACCCTGGCCCGTAACTTGTGTATTGGGCAAGCTCCAACCTAACATGCTGACTAGACCGTGCGCGCATGTTGATTTTGTCCACCCACACCAGACGCGATCAGGACACGCAGGTTGAAACATCAAAACTTACTCTGAACCAACTATATTAATTTGGGGACAGGTCGAACAGCATTAAACATTTATGGCAATTTAGCTAGCTAGCTTGCTGTTGCTAGCTAATTTGTCCTGGGATATAAACATTGGGTTGTTGTTTTACCTGAAATGCACAAGGTCCTCTACACTGACAATTCATCCACAGATAAAACGGTAAACCGAGTTAGTTTCTAGTAATCTCTCTTACTTCAGGCTTCTTCTTCTTATTCTTCAATGGGGTTTAACGGCGGTTGGCATCCAATTTGTTGCATTACCGCCACCTACTAGACTGGAGTACAACTCCCTTATCTATTCCTTGAAAAATAAAACAAAGCAAAGAAATACCCTACCATCTAACACTACACTTACAAATTCAAAACTATTACTAATAATTAACCCCACCCTTCTCCACTATTTAAATATACTCACTCCTACCTCATGCCCTCATCCTGAAATGATGAGACATCACCACTTAACACTCCCTGTAACTTTTCTGCTGTCAAGTCTTGCACACCCAAATATCTCTCTGCAGCTGCCACCACAACCTCAACTTTCTTCGATTTGCGTTCTAATCCCTGCAGTACAATTAATAACCATTGCTATAAAACCCAATCTTACTGAAACATATATCACTTGGTTACTTATCCCCCTGTACATTTGACATTTTTAGTAATTTAGCAGACGCTCTTATCCAGAGCGACTTACAGGGGCAATTAGGGTTAAGTGCCACATCGACAGATTGTTTACCTAATCGGCTCGGGGATTAGAACCAGCGACCTTTCGGTTACTGGCACAACGCTCTTAACCACTAAACTACCTGCCGCTGGTACATACCACCTACTCTCACCATTCCCCCACTTTTACATTTACTGCTACCCCAGTAATCACTGCTTTCAATGGCACCCTTTTCTTGAGGGCGAAACAATACACAATTCTTGCCCCCATTTGTTTGACTCTGAGCGCCTTCTCCCTCTGCCCAACAGAAACATATACAATTACCACTAGACCACTTCTGGTTACCCTCACCGATTCCACTATACCCAACGCTTTTTTCACCCATCTTGAAACCACAAATGAATCAGCTAAAAGGCAAGGATCCACTTCTTCACTCCTACTGTCACATACTCATCTTTATCCTGACCCTCTGTCCAAGCCTCTGGCTCCGAGCACTTCACCACACCTACCAACTCATTCTCTTCCATTTCTCCCCCTGTCTTTAGCTCACATTTCCTACCTGTCTTCTTTAACAAACCTTCTCCACTCAATTTTTAACTGACTCAAACTTTACATTGACATTTTAGTCATTTAGCAGACGCTCTTATCCAGAGCGACTTACAGTTAGTGGGTGCATACATTTTCATACTTCTTTCACACTGGCCCCCCGTGGGAATCGAACCCACAACCCTGGCGTTGCAAGCGCCATGCGCTACCAACTGAGCTAAACAGTCTTCCTCCCTCTGCCTCTCCTTTTCCCTCCACTCCTCCTCCGTCATCCAAGCACACGACTCCTTATTATAAAACTGCTTTTCTCCTAACCAATATATGCTTCTTGCCTTCTCAAAGGACTCAATTTTTCCCCTCCGGCGTCTATTCTATCCTCTGGACTTGTGTCGACATCTTGGCCTGCGTCTTCCATCGGAAAAAAATTTGGTCCGCCACATAGTCCATTGGCCACCACTTCATACAATTTTCATGCTGCCTCAAATGGCCTTCAGGCTTCTTCTTCTTCTGTGGGTTTTATATGGCGGTTGGCAACCAACTTTAAGGTGCATTAGCGCCACCAACTGGACTGGAGTGTGGACCTCAGTTCATCTTTCAATCACCCACGTGGGTACATGCTCCTAAAAACCAATGAGGAGATGGGAGAGGCGGGACTTGCAGTGCATCATGCGTAACAAAAAGAGCCAAAGTTCTATTTTAGCACCTGGCTACGCAGACGCTCGTTGACGTACGCGAGCAGTGTGTGTGCAATGATGTATGTGAACATTTATTTTGCAACGCTCGCGCACGCGACGCGAGCTGTGTGGTCAGCATGAATAAGGGGATTGTGGGAGGTGTAGTGTGGTGTGGTGTGGAATGATGGCTAAACGTTGTGTCCACTGAAGTTTAACTTCATCAGAGTGACTTCCTGGGCATATTGGCACTCCCCAGTAGGAGCAGAATGGAATTCTAAAGTATTTCAATTAAATGTTTCAAGGACATTGTTGTAGTGGGGACAGTAACATTAGTAATCTCAAAAAATTATTCTTTAAGGAAAATATTTGTATATTTTTTCATTATTCTGTTTAGCTCACATAATATAATTTAAAAGTATGCATTAAGGTGTCTGTAATATAATAAATGTTGCAAAAATGAATGTAGACATTAATAAATGCATTTTTATAGCTTCCAAAAATGTTTTTATGACGGTGGGGGAGTGCCAAGATGGAGTTAAGGTCGCTTCAACACAGCACCCCTATTAGTCATCTAGTGTATATAAATCATTCTTCTGCTTGCTCTTAAGGGGTTTAGGCCAGGTGAAGCCACTGAGGTGTAATATTAACTGGAGACTGCGTCCAAGATGTCCGTCCGTTGTTTTCAATGTAATCTACTCATGTTCGCAGATTCATGGACTGTCTATATCAGGGTTGCATCTGTTTATACAGACCAACAGGGAGCAGCACGAGCAGCGACTATGTCATCATGTCACCCAAAAACATAGCAGACATTTACATTTACATTTTAGTCATTTAGCAGACGCTCTTATCCAGAGCGACTTACAGTTAGTGAATGCATACATGGATTAATATAAAATGTTAATATCATCGGCTGTGAGGGATGGAAAAAAATTGGCCTCAGCGACAATTATTTGCATAATTCAATGGATGTTCTGTGCACAAAGGTGATGGCTAAAGTGTCTTATTAGGAATTTTCAAATCTGACTTCTCTATGTGGCCGTCTATGGAAATTGTCTTTCTGGGCCGAGCGTCAGTTAAACTGTCGTACCGAAGCAAAACTGTAGGAGCAGTCTAAACCATGCTTCTAGAGTCTAGACAAATGGTTCCCAACTCCAGTCCTTGAGTAGCCCCAACAGTACACATTTATGTTGTAGCCCCGGACAAGCACACCTGATTCAATTTGTCAACAATCATTAAGCCCTCAATGAGTTGAATCAGGTAAGTTTGTCCAGGGCTGTAACAAAAATGTGTGCTGTGGAGGTACTCGAGGACTGGAGTTGGGAAACGCTGTTCCAGACCGAAACCCTGGCCCCTTGGGTGAAGCACTTGTGACAACTATTGTAGGCCTAAAGGGTTTTGTTTTGTAAATAACATTTTCCAATGAATCATCATTCATGGATTTCTTACAATTGAACACTGTAGTAGGCCTGCATAATTTTTCCATTCCCATTACTACAATACTTTGAATGACGGGCTTATTGACACTTTAATAATTATCATGTTGGGAACTAATGGGACCAACAAAGTGTAACATCAATGGCGAGACAACCACTTTTCCAGGATATGAATTAATAACTTTATGAACAAAGTCACTGTCTGTCTTTTCCTCTGTGCCAAAACCACATGAAAACTTTGACAGAAAAGTTGAGACCTGAAAGCTAGGTCAGCATATAAGGAGGAAGAAGGTGAATAATGATAAGAAAATAAGAAGATACAATTTAAATGTTGTCCCTGATATACAAGCTTTTTCAAATGGGTTAAAGGAGTTCCTCAGTCGCAGAGCAGTCCACTGTAGACTGAACACTGTCACCTCACATACAGTTGAAGTCGGAAGTTTACATACACCTTAGCCAAATACATTTAAACTCAGTTTTTCACAATTCCTGACATTTAATCCTAGTAAAAATTCCCTGTCTTAGGTCAGTTAGAATCACCACTTTATTTTAAGAATGTGAAATGTCAGAATAATAGTAGAGAGAATGATTTATTCAGCTTTTATTTCTTTCATCACATTCCCAGTGTGTCAGAATTTTACATGCACTCATTTAATATTTGGTAGCATTTCCTTTAAATTGTTTAACTTGGGTCAAACGTTTTGGGTAGCCTTCCACAAGCTTCCCACAATAAGTTGGGTGAATTTTGGCCCATTCCTCCTGACAGAGCTGGTGTAACTGAGTCAGGTTTGTAGGTCTCCTTTCTCGCACACGCTTTTTCAGTTCTGCCCACACATTTTCTATAGGATGGGGTCAGGGCTTTGTGATGGCCACTCCAATACCTTGACTTTGTTGTCCTTAAGCCATTTTGCCACAACTTTGGAAGTATGCTTGAGGTCATTGTCCATTTTGAAGACCCATTTGCGACCAAGCTTTAACTTCCTGACTGATGTCTTAAGATGTTGCTTCAATATATCCACACAATTTTCCTTCCTCACGATGCCATCTATGTTGTGAAGTACACCAGTCCCTCCTGCAGCAAAGCACCCCCACAGCATGATGCTGCCACGCCCGTTCTTCACGGTTGGGATGGTGTTCTTCGGCTTGCAAGCTACCCCCTTTTTCCTCCAAACATAACAATGGTCATTATTGCCAAACAGTTCTATTTTTGTTTCATTAGACCAGAGGACATTTCTCCAAAAAGTACGATCTTTATCCCCACGTGCAGTTGCAAACCGTAGCCTGGCTTTTTTATGGCGGTTTTGGAGCAGTGGCTTCTTCCTTGCTGAGTGGCCTTATGGAGGTCTACCATTTTTTTGGCTGATTTCTTTTGATTTTCCCATGATGTCAAGCAAAGAGGCACTGAGTTTGAAGGTAGGCCTTGAAATACATCCACAGGTACACCTCCAATTGACTCAAATGATGTCAATCAGAAGCTTCTAAAACCATGACATCATTCTCTGGAATTTTCCAAGCTGTTTAAAGGCACAGTCAACTTAGTGTATGTAAACTTCTGACCCACTGGAATTGTGATACAGTGAATTATAAGTGAAA